TTTCAGTTCCTCCTTCTCCCAATCTTCACATAAAGCCTGTTTCTATGTTTTTCACATTTATAGGTGGATAATTGAAATGTTGAGGTACGAATGTCTTTCTTTTTTTTTTTTTAAGATCTTGAAGGATTCATTTTTAATTATTTCTATCACTGAAATTGGATTTTTCCATGTGTGCATGCCAGCATACAGCCCTGGATGGCCCCGGGACAAAATATTAAGATATGGACCCCCACCCATCCATTCGTACTTTCTTTACACATATATAATCTTGATTGATCAATCTTGAATGATGTCAAGCCTAGAATTTAACATTTTCTTCTGGTAGCATGAAAAATATTTATTCAATAGTTAATTAAATAAATGAACAAGCTATTTAATATTCATTTATTTAGGATCAACAAAGACATTAAAAATGTGGCGGTTCTGGCTTTCCATACATGCTCTAGTTCCTTTAGATCCCATTTATAGACTTCTGCTTGAGTGACGTGCTGAGATTTCAGGATAAAATGTTAGGATCAAATCTGTTCCTAAGCATTTGAGGCCGTAGAGCAGGACTGTCTATTTATTCACCTCCACTGCAGCTTTGATGCGGCCGGTGGAGGCGCCTGGAACTCACATCATCAATTTCAAAACATTGCAGCGCTTAACAATACCTCACTGTTTGGTCTTAATTAGCAAACATGGGACAGATGCTAACAGTTTTTTGCACCAGCAGAGAGCTAGCAAGATATGACCGCTAACAAGCTATGACAGGTGTTCTGTCAGATGAGCACATTAAGTCAGACCAACATGCGCACAGTCAAAACCCATTTATCCCTTTAGTTTATCGCTTCAGTTTTGTACGAAAAATAGATTTTAAACTACCTCAATGGATGTGTTTCCTTTTAGTCATGTACAAAACAACAATTTAACACACACTTTTTGGTGTTTTTTGAAGCGTATGACGATCTGACCTTAAATAGTTATTTTTTACATGACTAAAGGGATACATGCCTGTTAAGGTAGTTTAAAGTCTACTTTCGTACAAAACTAAAGGGATAAATGCAAATCTATGCCCATGCGTATTGACTATGGGTATGCTGGTCTGACAGAACACTGGCTTTGTCATGATTTTATCAAGAGCTCTGACCCACATGCAGATAAACCAATCCAGAGAGACAAGGGGAAAAGTTTAACAGGTTTATTGAGAAGTTTTGTGGAGATTCCAGTGTTGCTCTGAACACTGCTCAACCGGAACTGAAAGGTGAGGGGAAGACACTGCGGTTAGTTCAGGTTCAGTGGGAGAATTGAATCTCGAACTTGAAGAGGAGGAAAGGTTGGCTGACTCACGTTTCCAGAGATTAGGTTGACTCTTAGACTCCAGTAGGTGAGGAATGTGTTCCGGTGTTTGTCTCATACGGTTGAGGGCGGACAGGGTTTACCCAGAATGCGGTTGCTTGTAGGTGAATGGAGAAGACTGACTGCCACTCAGATTTCCTGCGGTACTTGAACGGACTGTGGTGCAGATGAATCCCTTGCTCAGTGTGAAGCTCAAACGATCTCTTGAGGAAAAGTTGATTCAAACCTCCAGTTTAAATCCTCAACTCAGCTTGAAGCTCAGATGATCCTTCCAGGGGGAGAAGGTCCGAAACATCCAGTTTGCAGGACTTCTTACCGAGAGGCAAAAACAAAAATAACAACGTTAAGACTCAGTTTGACTCAGCAAAACTTAGCTTGGCTAGAGTACCCAAAACTGGCAAACACTCTGGCGTCGAGGTAGTGGCAGTCAGCAGCTTAAGAGCACTCCATTAACGAGGTAACCCCTTGCAGGTGTGTGAGGAGGGGAATCAGAACCAGGCGCCGCCTGGTGGAGGAAGGAAGACGAACACACAAAAACACAGATAACACAGACTGGAGTCCTAACAGGCTTGATAAACTTTAAAGATGCTGCATTTGGGACTTGGAGGTGAGGATCTTCCCAGTACTGCAGTGGATCAATGGAAGAAATAAATAAATTAATTAAATAACTGTATTTGTTTGCAAACAAAAAAAATAATAGTTAAAAAAAACGCTCTTGTCCATAGATGGAGGTGGCTGGTCCCCCCCCCCAACCCCTGTCTCTGTGTATCAAAGCCATTTTCTTGTAAGAGAACAGATAGGTCTGTGTCAGGCGTGATTGTTCTTAGGAGTCAACGAAGTAAGGATGTAGGGAGGAATGAAGCTGTATGACAGGCTGTGTGCACTTGTATAGAAACCAGAGTGAGGACCAATTTCACCATCACAATGAGGACCAGTTGTTGTAAACAGGGGCGGATCTAGAAAAATATTTATGGGGTGACAAGAGGGGGGCAGGAATTTTTTAGGGGTGGCAACATATGGCATTTGTTTACACTGAATTTAATCACAGTTATCACAGTTTGGTGAGAATAGTATGTACAGTACTAGTGTTTCATGTGAAACAGTTCATATTAATAATACATCGTACAATGTGATCTCACTTAATAGGAGATAGACGAATGATAACACTACTTCTAGAGGGGCCTTATGACAGGAAAGGTATTAAGGTAAGACGCAGGTGCTGAGTCGCAGATGTGTGAGATTGACTGTCAGAGAGGCAGCTTTGCAGCATTTGCACAAGAAGAAACTATAGAAAGAAAAAGTTACCCATCAGAGATCTATGGACTGAGCTGTACTAAAGTGAGCAGAACTACACAGTAGAAATAAATGGGTCAAGGCACCCGTACAAGGTACTGGACATCTATGTAATGTTTACTCTGAACACACATTTACCCCATTTGTTCCTCAGTAACTTGACATACAGCAGTTAAGGCAACATGAAAGGGACATTTCATGCATGTAAATATGCTGTAGATAGAGCTGGATATGGAGGACCAACTCTGCCATATTTAAAAATAAATACAGAAATAAATAAATGCTCAATAAATAAATAAGCATACAATTAATTGCCACCAAAAATACAAACAACAAATAAATGTAATTAGAAATTATATTATATTGGCAGGCAGAAATGTAAAAAGGGCAGGCGGAAATAAATAGCGGCCAAGAAATAACTAGGGTAAAAAAATACAAAGGAAGAATAAAACAGACAAAAATATGATAACATGCACATAAATAAACACTTAAAAATATAAGTAATTAAAAAATGAAGTTGAAGATAGTAAATGACAAAAAAATAAATAAGGTAAATATTAAAAAGGCAAAGAAATAAAGAAGCCAATTAAAAGAGTTATATACCTTTATGACTAGCTGTATAATTTAATTTCTACTTACATTTATTTGTTGTTTGTATTTTTGGTGGCAATTAATTGTATGCTTATTTATTTATTGAGCATTTATTTATTTCTGTATTTTTAAATATGGCAGAGTTGGTCCTCCATACTGCTGTATCAACAAATCAACAAAAAGGCGGGTTCTGTATGTTACATCAAATCTCCACAAATCTGAAAAAGAAGCAACATAAAAATACATTTTGCTTGTGAGTAGGTTCATACAGGTCATTTCTGGATAATTTCATATTATATATTCAAAAAAAGAAACAACAACACTGCTTCATATTAAGCAGGATTCACACCAGTATCACATTTTTAACTTTTAACACTTTTGGTTTTATTAAAAGGAAATATCAGATTTTCTCAGGTGCCAAAACAAAATGTAACGGCTCTGTAAAGGCTCACCAGAGAGCATAACATAAAGTTAACATGACTATAACAGCTGAATGCAGTGATTTCCATGTTGCTCAGCAAAACGCTTCACAACTTTATTTAGATCCAATGCCTTTGTGCGTTTTGATTTGAGTTTAACCAAACTTGATCGTCTCTTTTCTGTCATAGTTGACCGTAAATATGTCTTTATGAGGCTGAGACGTCAGGCCTAACTAACATCATAGATAGAGAAATAACGTTCTGCAACCTGATTTTTTATCATCTCAAAATCAGCATTGCAGCTATGCTAGCAACATTGTGCTTTCATTATCATTTAATTTCTCAATAGACAGTTTTTACCTGTTTCATCCCGTGTCTCCTCTCCCCATCACCCCTGGCTCCCTCGCTTTGCCCCAATCGGTTTTCAAAACAATCAGTCTCAGTCGCTCTCGCGTCATCTCGTGCTGCATTCACTGCAGTCCGACATTGGAAATTAGCGGTCGTAATTCTCAAATGATCCATAATTTATAAGCCTCACCACCCCTACCGCCAACTGGGGTGGCAGCAGGGGTGGCAAGGCTGTCATTTAGGGTGGCATTTGCCACCCTATGCCACCCCAGTAGATCCGCCTATGGTTGTAAAGGGAGGACATTTTGCTGGTCCTCACAAAATATTTTGTTAATAGTTAGATGTCAGTAGGGTTAGGGTGAGGTATGCATTGGTTATGGTTCAATTTAATGTTAGGTGTAGGATTAGAGCATAGAAACGGTTATCAATGGAAGTCAACACATGATCCTCACTACATGAAGTAGAGATTTTTATAGATTGTCGGGCCATTTTCTGTTGTGGGGACCAAATGCTCCTAGTGGGGCCCAGTGCCTGGACCCCTGAGGGGAATCGCTGTGTTAGGGTCAGGGGTCACCTTTAGGACTGAGCTGGGAGCTGTGTTTAGGGTTAGGGATGAGATGGGTTAGAAATGAATGGAAGTCAATTGAAAGTCAGCATAAGGATAGCGTGAGTGAGTGAGTGAGTGAGTGAGTGAGTGAGTGAGTGAGTGAGTGAGTGAGTGAGTGAGTGAGTGAGTGAGTGAGTGAGTGAGTGAGTGAGTGAGTGAGTGAGTGCGTCCGTCCGTCCGTCCGTCCGTCCGTCCGTCCGTGTCCTGCAGAGAAACCGTCTGCTCGTCTTAGTCCTCACCTGAACCTGAAATGTTACCCAGATTAAGAGCCTCTGTACCTTCGGCTTGTACCTTTTAGTCCATCAGCCTCTCATTGTCCCACTCCTCTCTCTCCCCCCACTCCCCCATCACCACCACACGGCAATCTAGCTCCTGCTTATACACGGCTTCCTCTCTTTTTCTAGAGTCAATCTACCGCCGCGGCGCCAGAAGATGGAGGAAGCTCTACCGAGTGAACGGACACCATTTCCAGGCCAAGCACTTTAACAGGGTGAGTGTCATGGAGTCCTTGGAGGGAAGGCCTGAAAAAACTGGAGCGGCCATGACACCTGAATCACTGATTGTTTTTTAAGGTTTAACCTTGATGTTTGATCAGATTATTGGCTTTGTTCTTTTAATAATCTAGATTGAAACAATAATCTTTGACCTCATCCGACTGTATTTTGGCTCACAATACAACTTATTTTTTTAACACAGAAAGGCAGAAAGAAAATCAGAAGTAAATTAACTAAAATAAAAACATATTTTATATGAAATTTTACCATCCTGGGAACGAAATGTGTAAATGTAGCATTTAGTGTTTACACAAAGAGCAGCTTGTGGCTTGGTTGAACTGGGCTGATGGTGAGCAGGGAGGTTTATTGTGGGTTTTTATCTAGTTTATGTGTCTGAGGAGGTCAGATGAGATGTGACCAGAGGGGGGATTGCTTCATAGCTTTGGTAAAGAAACAGCTTCTTAGTCTATTTATCCTGAACAAAATTCACTTCAATTCAGTTTATTTCTATAGCACCAATTCACAACACGTGTCATCTCTAAGCACTTTCCAGTTCACCAGATCATCCAGTCCGATTGGTTCAAAGTTTTCTTTCTAAGGAAAACCAGTTGATTGCGTCGACTCATTGACTCTTCAGCAATCCCTCACACCCAGCATGCTTGTAGCAACAGTGAAAAGGAAAACTTCCTTTTATTAACATAAAGTTGCTGCACAGTTTTTTTCAGTCCAGGAGAGGATCAGAAATTTTATGCTGCCCACATGATCCACTGCTTTAACATTAGTTGTTAATTTTTTTCTAAATTCTAAAAATCCTGATTAATGATTCATAATTTTAGTAAAAATTATTGAGAATAAATGCATATTTAAGAAAAACTAACAAATGTTAATCATTGGGCTATTGGTATTTTTTAGTTTATAATTAATAATTTGGATTTACAGTAAACAATCATGAACTTTACCAAGATCATCTTTTTTTTTTTCTCTTTGTTGCTCTTTGGGGTTTGTTCAACCAGATGTAAAATTTATAATTATTAAATTTATAGCAAAGCTAGAAGCTAATAATAATTTAAAATTTCAAATTGCAATGAAGGTCCTTGCATTATGGAAACATTACCTCATAGTCATTTCCCTTTATGCAGTACTCGAGTTGAGTGGGTGAGTGGGATGAAGGAGCATGGCATCCCCCTTCTTAAATAAAAATTAAAAAAGATCCCCCTTCTAAAATGATCATCCCTTGTGACATTTCATTACTAAATGTGTAAAATTTCTACTATATGTTCACAGTAATGGCAATAATTCGCCCCCCTGTAGGGGCAGTAATAGCCATGCTAACTATGTAGGGGCAGAGATAGCCATGCTAACTATGTAGGGGCAGTGATAGCCATGCTAACTATGTAGGGGCAGTGCTAGCCATGCTAACTATGTAGGGGCAGTGATAGCCATGCTAACTATGTAGGGGCAGTGATAGCCATGCTAAGTATGTAGGGGCAGTGCTAGCCATGCTAACTATGTAGGGGCAGTGCTAGCCATGCTAACTATGTAGGGGCAGTGCTAGCCATGCTAACTATGTAGGGGCAGTGAGAGCCATGCTAACTATGTAAGGGCAGTCATAGCCATGCTAACTATGTAGGGGCAGTGATAGCCATGCTAACTATGTAGGGGCAGTGATAGCCATGCTAACTATGTAGGGGCAGTGCTAGCCATGCTAACTATGTAGGGGCAGTGATAGCCATGCTAACTATGTAGGGGCAGTGCTAGCCATGCTAACTATGTAGGGGCAGTGAGAGCCATGCTAACTATGTAAGGGCAGTCATAGCCATGCTAACTATGTAGGGGCAGTGATAGCCATGCTAACTATGTAAGGGCAGTCATAGCCATGCTAACTATGTAGGGGCAGTGATAGCCATGCTAACTATGTAGGGGCAGTGATAGCCATGCTAACTATGTAGGGGCAGTGATAGCCATACTAACTATGTAGGGGCAGTGCTAGCCATGATAACTATGTAGGGGCGGTGATAGCCATGCTAACTATGTAGGGGCAGTGATAGCCATACTAACTATGTAGGGGCAGTGATAGCCATGCTCATTAGGGGCAGTGATAGCCATGCTCATTATGTAGGGGCAGTGATAGCCATACTAACTATGTAGGGGCAGTGATAGCCATACTAACTCTGTAGGGGCAGTGCTAGCCATGATAACTATGTAGGGGCGGTGATAGCCATGCTAACTATGTAGGGGCAGTGATAGCCATGCTCACTAGGGGCAGTGATAGCCATGCTCATTATGTAGGGGCAGTGATAGCCATACTAACTCTGTAGGGGCAGTGCTAGCCATGCTAACTATGTAGGGGCAGTGATAGCCATACTAACTATGTAGGGGCAGTGATAGCCATGCTCACTAGGGGCAGTGATAGCCATACTAACTCTGTAGGGGCAGTGCTAGCCATGCTAACTATGTAGGGGCAGTGATAGCCATACTAACTATGTAGGGGCAGTGATAGCCATGCTCACTAGGGGCAGTGATAGCCATGCTCATTATGTAGGGGCAGTGATAGCCATACTAACTCTGTAGGGGCAGTGCTAGCCATGATAACTATGTAGGGGCGGTGATAGCCACGCTAACTATGTAGGGGCAGTGATAGCCATGCTAACTATGTAGGGGTAGTGCTAGCCATGCTAACTATGTAGGGGCAGTGATAGCCATACTAACTATGTAAGGGCAGTCATAGCCATGCTAACTATGTAGGGGCAGTGATAGCCATGCTAACTATGTAGGGGCAGTGATAGCCATACTAACTCTGTAGGGGCAGTGCTAGCCATGCTAACTATGTAGGGGCAGTGAGAGCCATGCTAACTATGTAAGGGCAGTCATAGCCATGCTAACTATGTAGGGGCAGTGATAGCCATGCTAACTATGTAGGGGTAGTGCTAGCCATGCTAACTATGTAGGGGCAGTGAGAGCCATGCTAACTATGTAGGGGCAGTGAGAGCCATGCTAACTATGTAGGGGCAGTGATAGCCATGCTAACTATGTAGGGGCAGTGATAGCCATGCTAACTATGTAGGGGCAGTGAGAGCCATGCTAACTATGTAGGGGCAGTGAGAGCCATGCTAACTATGTAGGGGCAGTGAGAGCCATGCTAACTATGTAAGGGCAGTCATAGCCATGCTAACTATGTAGGGGCAGTGATAGCCATGCTAACTATGTAGGGGCAGTGCTAGCCATTCCAGTCCAGGGACTGACTGCAGTTCTACTGTAAGGTGCCTTGGTCAAAGTCAATAACCGGCGTACCTGACATGTAACAACCAGCCCATGCATATTGCTTTAGGTTAATAGAATATATTAATTAGGCTATGTTTCCTTAAAAAAAAAAAAAATCCAACATTCCTTCTTTTTTTTTTTGCAACTAGACTGCTGTCTTTATGTATTCTGTGTTTTATAAGCAACTATTCTGCTCAACAGCTATCAACATACCTTGAAAATTCACAAAAATCCAACAAAACATCTAATGATTATAAGCCAATAATTAAAGCTTTAGCTCAATTCCAGCATGAATAAAGAGTCGACACCAGCAGCAGGTAAGAGATGAATCACAGCTGTGAGTCGGTTTAAAATAAGCGAGGCGGGGATGAGACATTCCTGCAATAATGATGGTTATATGTCAGTGTTTGAGCAGCTGCCATCATCTGAGAACAAAAGGTTAATCCGTCTTAACAGACTGCTGCAACTTATCTTAACAAATGTTAAAAAGTCCAAGCGAAAACATCAGAGCACAATTCACAAGAAATGTAGAACCAAGAACTTCATCTGGAGTAAACATTAAAAATGCACAGGACTATGTTTAAGAGTTTTCACCTCCCAGATTATGAATACATACTAAAAATGATCAACTCTAAATAAATATGATTTAACATGGCCTCCTCTTCTGTTTATCAGGAACCAACTGGATTCCCATTCTGATCTAATCAAGTGATAGAGCGCTGATGCGTTTTGTCCTTTTGCCAGAAGGAAAACAGGATGAACCACAATCAGCCCAGTTAAAGAAAAAGAAAATAGAATCTGACATTTTCTGATGTGTGCAGGGATTAAAGTATTCCAGAACCAGGCCGGATTTCCGGCTCGTAGCTATTGCCCGTGGGTAAAACAAAATCACTCAAATAAATTGACAAAAAAAAAAAGACAAATGAAATCCCAATGGTAGCAAAGGAAACTAACAGTTTTAGCCAAACAGAAGAAGAAGGGGGTGGGTCTTAGGAGCGGGCACCTCCTCCTCTGGTTTCTTGCTCAAGTCCCCAAATAGATTGTTGTTCAGTGCTGAAGTTCTACACGGAACCTGCGCTCCAGCTGCGAAATTGGTTAGAACGTACTTTAAAACATGTTATGATCTCTTCCTGATGACTTTACACCTTTGATCTGCCCTTTCTGATTTCATTCTTCATGATTCTTCTTCTATAAAAAGTAATAAAATAGCTTTAATAAAGTTGAGCATATTTGTTGTGCTGAGCTGAAACATCTCTGCCTCAGTTATGCAAAAAAAAAGCTACCTTTGAATCTCCTTCACTCCATAACAGGCAGGGGGCCGTCACGGTGCATTCAATGACCGCTAAAAGGATGGATTTGTACACTAGAAGTTTAGAATTAAAGATAAACATGAAGTAAACACCATGTTTGGTTGGCAAGTAGCCCAGATAAATGGGTCAAATCAAAGCTGCACATCTATTCTTTCTATATCTGGTTTGAACAGTAGACTCCTCCTCATGAAGCCATACCGGCATTAGATCAGAAATCCCAGGTAATCCAGTCAGACCTGCAGCTGGGCTGCTGATCTATAATTCATGCTGACCTAGTTGTAGTTATTTTAGCTAATGCCGTCTCTCTGAGATGGGAGCTTTCATCATATCACTGCTTTTACAAAGCAGAGGCCACTCTGGAAAATATGCATTAAGACCTTTCAGACCTTAAGTAGTTCTAACTTGATTTCTCTGAAGGGTGAGGC